CATTGGCCTGAAAAGGCTTCAAAGAAAAAAAAAATTCCATAAATAACATCACATTCATACCCATCGTTACTTCCACTCATGAAGATAAAGCCTATTCTATCGAGCATTGATTCAATTGGAGGCCACATAGGCTTGTTTACGTCATTTCATTTCTCTTTCTTTATTCAGGGCCAAGACATTTTGCTTTTACAGGTCACCATTTGTCACATTTGCAATCCTTCCCTCTCTCTCTCTCCCTCTCTTTCTTATCAATTTTCAGGGTCTAATTCATTCGCTTAAGTCAGCCAGCTTATTCAAATGCCGTAGACGGAACTCTCAACCTTTGTCCATTTTTCGCATAAAATATATAGTTAGCTAACACTGTCATCTTCATTGATAGTAATATCTCTCATCGAAAGAGACTTCTATTCCAATATCTCATGTTGTCTTTCCCTCTCTCTCTCTCTCTCTTTTTCTCTTCTATTTATGTTCCTAATCATGAATATATATGGATTTTTTTGAAAGTAAATTTCAAACAAATTAATGTCTAAATCAAAATTAAATTAAATTTGGATCTCTTCTCAATGATTAACAGCTTTTTGTTGAATTTTTTTTGTTGCTTTAATCGTTTATTATTAGCTTTCCGATATATGATTTAGCATCGTTTTTCACCAAGGTCATGACATCGATATTTCTGCTACCTTATTTCTTGTAAAATACTACTGAAAGATTTATGTCTGTCTTTTAGCTTTCATTATTCAAATTCATTTGTCACATCGATTATTTATTAATGAATTTTATCAAATCGATTACTAAAAGATATTATTTGTGTGCAATTTATTGTTTCTGACCGTTTCAGGAAGCTTTTCCGATGTAACACAAACGTCCGATTATAATAAAAAATGCATATGATTTATGCGATATATTAATTGTTAAGAGTTTTTTTTTTTGTAGTAATATATTAAGAGCCTTAGGTTACTCTTAATTTCACTACTGAAATAATAAAGCAATCTAGATAAAAATATAATCAATAATTTAGCGATGCAAAGGATTTTATTTGAATTAATCAGTCTTTTTTTTTTTTTATTTTATTGATAATTCAGAATAGATCTCCAATGATACATACGGTTTGATTACATTTTGTAGTGACAAAAAATATTTCAGCTTCTGTATTAAAAATTTTAAATGTATTTTTTTTCAAGATAAAATTTCTGAAATGAATGATAAACTTTAGGATATTATAATTTTGAAAGAGAATCATATTGCGTGCAGAAAAAAAAGATTATTTCAAAGTAGCACTTTTTATTTCAAAAATTCAGCATCCTTAGATATGATCATAATTTTTAAACTTTGAAAATAGCACTTATATTCCGCTCATTCTGCAATGTCATTTTATGTTTGTCAACATAATATCTATCGGGTTAGTAACCATAATGACCGATTACTGTTCGGACAGGTATCATTAATTCATTGTCCACAACAAACATCATATACATTTCATTCATCATTTCATGGGGTAGTCATTATTGTCAATATCTGTTTTAAAGTAATGTTTTCATAGATTACAGAAATGTGATCTTTACTAAATTTCCATTTCAACATTTGATCAATTTTTAAATTATTTTCAAAATGAACTATCTTTCTTCCTCCGTAATTCTCCAATATCATTTATTGATTTTCATTTAAAAAAAAAGAAACAATCATTGATCTTTCTGCACCAGATTTTAAAATCATTTTTTTTTTGTGCATTAAAACTTCAAAAATTAAACAGAGGACAGCATCATTTATGTCATGAAGTCTATTTGCATTATTAGCTAATGCTAAAATGTGTAAAATTGGAAGAAATTCATGAATTCTTTGTGTGAAGAAGAATGAAATTTATAATTGTGTGAAATCGCTAATGTTTATCGTTGCTAGGTGATAGGTCGATAGACTAATAGACCGATTGATGGATAAATAAGAGTATTCTTATCTCATTTCAATACAATTGCTTATTGAAATGCTCCCAAATTCTTGTCAAATACTACGAAGCACTTTTAAAGGATGATAAAATATAATTTGATTTGAATCGGTTATAATCGTACACAGTAAAATTAGCAATCAATTCAGATCTTTATAAAAAGATCTAAAAATTAAAAATTTATAAAAATTAAAATTATAGATTAGCATGAAGTCGCTTGGCAGTTATTCATTCACATGATGTAGCACCGCTATGTGCGCATTTTTAAAATTTTAAAATTTCATCCAATAATAAGCATCTGAAATTATCCTCTACGGATTGTTAAAATTCTTTTCCTTTCTCAGTTTTTAGTCCATTCTTTTTGTCCAATTGCTGTGTTTAGCAAGGAGTAAAAATAAGAGAAAATAATTTCATGCACATTTTCATTTATCTTTTCTCGAAAATTTCATCCCCTCAAATTCAACCTTTTTTTTTTCATTAATAGATTATCATAATTAATCATTTCATCGTTGCATCTTTAAACTTTCATCATTTTGATTCTTATTTTTGACTACTCTTTTCTCCTCTCATTCATACTTTTTGCTTCCTTTCGTCAAATATTTCAAATACTACGAAGGATGTGGAGGGAGGGGGGGGGTCTTTTTTTTTCAAATAAAATCTAATTATGTAAAACGCAGAAAGGATTTTAAGGGAGCTACAGAGAAAAGGTAAAAGAAAAGGTCGAATTCCGTTGTTTCATTTTATTTTTCTTTTTTCCAAATCATTGCTGATTCAAATTATGTCTTTGAAATAAAAAAGAAAAAAAAAACTCCAAATCACATGCACAACCAATGAATTCAATGTTTAATTATTGTTTGTATTAAAAATTCATTTAAATTACTTCAAAATTTACTAATTTATAATTGACACAGGAAAAACGAGACAAACGAATGCTAAAGAATATGAACAAGCAAAATTCATAATTCAATTTTCCATTCATTAATTAGCACCATCAATAATTATTCCTAATTAGCTTACATTCATTTATGCAAATCATTTTTTACTACTATTACAGCAAATTTACCACATTGTTCGATAGAGCTTCTCATTTCATATTCCTTCCTTCTGTTCATCGGAAAAGAAACAGTTCTTACAACATCTGTTTGAGTGAATGACAAATGCGCTGTACAGCAGCGCTATGGAAGGAATACAAAGCACAACGTCAAAATATTCAATTTGAATTCGCTAAACAATTACGAGCAAATATGGCCACATTGGTAAGTTACTATAATACTTTCTTCAAAAAAGAAAAATGCCAAATTTTGCAATTGCAAAAACCATTTGCGCCACATATTAGTGCACTAAATATATAAATTGAGCGATAAATTTTTAAATTGCTTAAAATTCCTTAAGATTTTTTCTTTTTGTATTTTGATTATATATTTTGTAAAGTACAAAATGAAATCTTTCTATGCTATGAATTTAAAATGACAATTAGTTGGGCGATAGAGTTAGCATTTATTAATTGTACAGCTGTACTTCATGATCCGCTGAAATTCATATATATGAATGAAATGGCAGGAATAAATTTTATTTATAGCAATCAAATAAATGCTTCCATTTCATAGCACTTGGATTCTTCGTTATTGCAATCCAAAATTTATCATTAAAGTATGTGCAGAATTAATTATTTCAGGATCATATTGAAAACTATCATTCAATTAATCAAATTTATTACGACTTTATAATATTATTCCATCATCCATTTTTTTTGTCATTTAATATTTTCAAAAAAAAAAGAAATAATTTTAGGATTTTTTTTTGATTTCTTAATTTCTATCAAATATAACTTAATTATAGGTTGGAAATGTCGAGCATGCGGATGTTTTATTGGTTGCAGCAGATGGAAGTAAACTTCCAGCACATCAATGTATTCTACGACAGCGAGCGCCAGGTTTTTTTAAAACGCATATTGAGCCAACCATAAAAGCATCTTCTCATGAAGCCAACAATCGAATATTGGAAGTTGCAGTGGGTGATATCGATTTTGCTGGCCTTAAATTTTTTATAAGGTTTTTTTTCATGTACAATTCAGTAGTAATTAAGAGAGTTATTTCATCTTTAGAATAATATGCAAATGTTTTTATTGTAATACTTCTAAATTAAGTGATCCAAATTAAGCTAATATTTTATTTCTTCGACTGAGACTAATTAGAGCTTGACTGCAAAAAAAAAAATCTCATATAAAATGATTCCATATATTACTTTGATAAAAATAAATAGCAAAAGCAGTAATTAATTTAAAAATGATTTCTTTTTCCAATTCTTTGCTATTTTTTTTATTTTTTTCTTAAATTAAATTTCTTAAATTAACTAGATTAATCAATAGTGGCAGTTATATTTATAGAGCTGTGTATACAGAAGATGAGGCATCACATCTACCTGAAAATGGTATCATTGATCAACAGGATATGATTGATAAGCGAAATGATAAAGGTTCAATCTTTCTTCATTTTCCATTTTAATTTATTATTATTAAGAAAAAAATAACAAAAGAAAAGATATTATTTTTTCGGCTTTTATAATGCATGTGTAAATTAAGCCGCTATAAATTTTCTTTTTGTTTTTCTTACTGATCAAACAAGAAAAAAAAAGCATCTGATAGATGACATAACAATATGCTTATTTGCTTAACAACAACTATGCTGCTTCTTATACTATCTTATGCTTGTAAAGCATGGATGTGAATGGATTAGGTGCTTATAGATGGTGAGAAATTGAATCATACCTACAATATGGATGAGTCAACCGAATTTGTGGATATGGGTATGGAAAGTTTGCCACAGATGGATAATGATGAAGTGGGAACATCAATAGGTAATGAATGATATCGCGATATGAGATGATTCATTGAGAGATGTTCAGAAGTTATTGTATTCCAATCAATAACATATGGTTAAGATCGGTTCCAATATGACTATTTTATATAATTTTATAACTGATAACATGAGAAATGTGCAAATGTATTATATGTGAGCATAAAATTGAAATGTATAAAATGCTTGAAGAATAATTTTTTCAAGCACTTTATATATATATATATATATGTTTGAAAAACCATTTTTAGATCAAATTTCTATCAAACACATAAATTTTTAACAGTTCTAATTTCCTACAAATTTAGTTCCATTATTGAAGAATTATTTTTCTTCTACGAGCATATTTTTAATTGATCAGTGAGGCGGTAACAATCATTTCCTAGCTGATTATGCAATTAATTCATTTTAGCTAAAACGTTATACCGTTACTCCGATTAAATGCATAAATCAGTTATTAAAATTTTAAAAATTTCAACTTGAATATTTGAAAATTTTATTTAAAATTTTGATGGCTTAGGAAGAAAATATAATATTTGTTAGCGGAGAGAAAAAGCAGATGTAAACTTATATGTATGTAATATTAAGTTGAATGTTTAGAAGATTTAGGCTCTACCGTTAGCATAATAAGCTATTTTAGAAATAACGCCTGTAGTTGAAAATGAAGGATATAACGCGGAATGGTTTCCTAACAAATAGCATCGATGGCATGAAATGAAATTAGATATTGTGTATTTGCGGAGACTTAAGGCCTAGGCTAAATATCAAGGGAATGAAAATCAGCGTGGTGGATGAGTGAATTACACATTTATTCACCATAATTCTAAATGTAAACCATGGGAAGGTGTTATTTATATTAGAAAAATATTTAGCTTATTGAAATTTTATAATCAATTATAGAATTATCTGACTTAAAAGAAATGCAGTGATACTGTAAAATGTGTCATTGTTTTGTTACTAAATAAATTATTGATCATATAAATAATTCCGATCCGGTTTACAAGAAATTTGAGATGAATTCTTGAAATTTACTTCAAATTTGTGTTATAGGAATTAATATCTGGGGAAATTTGATTTTTTGTCATGAAAAGTATCATATTATAGCAAAATTTCTTTCGTGATACTTTTAGCAATTCAACAAAAACTCATCGATAACGTTCAAAGGTCAGACATTTACCATTAGGCTATCCGATAAATGAACCAGATGGCTTGATATTTCTTAAAACAATAAGCTTTTTAAAATAGGCACTTGATAAATGTGCTGCGCTATAAAAAAGTGTAAAGTTAAAATATTTTAAAATTGTTTTTCCATCATTCACTACGGTGGAAAAAATTTTTCATAAAATAATATTTCAGTAATTACGGAAAATTCAGTATATATTTCAACAGACGAAGAATTTGACCTTTTTTACACGTAACTAAAATATATAACTCTCGATGGGAGCATTTCTTTTTAGGTTTATTCCAGAATGGCTTTGTAATTTATATCCTCAATCTTAAGAAATACATTCATAGAATGCAAGAATGATACTTGACCTTTCTTGCAACTACATATCACAAACATTTAATCGTATCAATAGCTGCTTATCCTCAATTTGATATAATTGATAGATATTCATTCAAAATATTTCTAAAACATAAAGCAGGGTAAAATTTAAGTAAATGCGGCAACTGAAAATGCCGATCAATTACGGCAAATGACATCATTTCAAGAATTAGCTATAGCGGATTCACCAATGTATACTTCGTTATCATCATTGGAATTACCTGGAAGTTACACCGCATCATCCACTCGAGAAGATTCCAGTGAACATCCATTGAAAGAATACACACCCAGTCGTATGTTATTTTATTCCATCACATCGATGTCATATTATTTGTCACGATCGATATGACAATGAAATTTTTACAGTTGTCATTTCCTTCTGATAAAATATTGTTTCACCAAAACTATTATAAAAAATCATCTTAAATTTTTTATATTTTTTCTCCAAAATTTCAATTTATTTTTTATTTTTCCCGCATTGCATGCATATTTATATTTTGCTACCGCTTCAAATTGCATTTTTTGTTTAAATTCAAAATGTTGAATTTAATTAATTTGCCATTATTTTAGCATCATTTATCTACATGAATACAAATAATAATAGTACAACAACAACTACTAATGATAGTACCTCGATGGAATGTGTAACAGCTGCTCAAAAGAAGCCTATGTTTCAGATGTTTGTTGGCCTAGAAGGTTACGTTTAGCTTTTTATCTTTTTCTTTCTGGCTTTTTTCAGTATTATTACTAGAATTTCTTTTATACTTATATGACAAAATAAATTAGCTTTCATATATACAAATTTGAAAATTTAACTTGATCCTTAAGTTATTCTGAGCGGAAATTTTCAGGTGATATCGATCCAGAAATGTGGCACAGTGCTCCAGGGCCAGAAGGTATTCGCGGTCGTGCAATAATGGCTAAACGATTATCGATGACATCATTAAATTCATTGACATCGATTGATCTAACACCTAATTATGAGGGTATGATACGTCTTTATTGATCTGATCTGATGGAAAAAATCTCTTTTGTAACATGCATTTTAGGTTAAAGAAAATAAAATGACCCTGATAAATTGATCATTGTAATTAAGC